AAACGGCTGGACCGATTTCGATGAAATTTTTTGTGTGGGTTCAAGTAAATTCGAGAATGGTTTAGATTTACAATTCGGTCCGATATCACAATTAGTTAAAAAGATATTAATTAAAAACATTCAAAATATACAATTCAACGTTCACCTGCATTGTTGTAACAACGCTATTGTTATAAACAAGTAATATAAAAGAAATTTAAATCAATTCCTATTTAGATCAATCAAGAAAAAATTTATTTTAGCCTCATTTTATTAAATAGCTACAATAAGTATAAATATGTATATACATATGACAGAATCACAACATTATAAGTGGTAATTAAATTATCATTACAGTATCGTATTATCATCCAAAACAATCGTGTATATAAAATTTCTTTCAACTGAATGCTTAACACGTGAGAAAAAAACCTTTTCAAATTTTGCCATAAGTCGCCAAAAGGGTCACTAAGTCGCCAACGTGGCTGTATTTGTAATTTTTTGAAATAATTAGATTTAATCAATTAATTTTTATTAATTATAATTAAATATTTGTATTGTTATCCAAAATAATCATGTACATTACATTTCAGATCAATTGAGCGCTTTAAAATGTATTTTATTAACGATTGAAAATTCCACCAAGATAAATAAACAAGCAAACAAATAAAATATCTATACACTGGTGTGCAAAAATTAAGGACGAGGTCGAAAAATTAGCATATCAGCTGAACGAAGAGGCAGAGCGGACAGAAAGACCAATCAGGAGATTATGTAAGGTGAAGTACGGTAGCACATGCGCAGATATGCAGGTAGACGTAATGGGGGAGTGTCTGAGTAGTATAAAGCATGTTGTCGGTGTAAGATCAGTATTTCTGGCAAAGAGATTGCACGCCATATAGCAGTTAAAATCACACCGAGTTGCTGCCTCAGCGAGAAATCGCGAATAATCAATCTGTTAGACGACATCTGGATGCTTTTACCCGAGGTCGAATCATTGGGAAGTTGGAGGAAGGCCGCAGTGTGACAAGTGTGGCTGCAGAGTTCGGAATTGCTCACAGCATCGTTTCACGACTTTGGAGACAATTTCAAAGTACAAGAACAGCTATAAGGAGGTTCAGTAGTGGTCGTCCACGAGGAACCACACCCGCAGATGACGGCACATTGTCTTACAGGCCAGAAGAAACAGGCGGCAGACAGCGGGAGAAATCGCCAGACACACGACACAGGCGACTGGACTACCGATATCGCGTTTTACCGTGGCCAGAAGACTGCACGGTGGTGGTCTGTTTGCATGACGCCCTGTACGGTGTGTACCTTTAACGCCTGCCCATCGGAGAAGGTTTTCTCTGTGGTGCCGGGAACATCGGAATCGGAGAGACCAAAAATAGGGACGAGTACTCTTTACAGATGAGAGCAGATTCAGTTTGAGTAGCGATTGTCATCGCATACTCATCTGGAGAGAGCGGGGAAGCCGCAATCATCCCTCGAACATCATTGAAAGGGACAGGTATGGAGGTCGCGGTGTTCTCGTTTGGGGAGGCATCATGCTTGGTAGTCGTACAGACCTTCACATCTTCGACGCAGGTTCAGTCAACGGGACCCGTTATTGTAACGAGATTCTTCTTCCATATGTGTGTCTTTTTAGAGGCGCTATGGGTCTGCAGTTCCTTTTCATGGAAGACAATGCACCATGTCATCGCACAGTAGCTGCCGAACAGCTCTTAGAGAGTGAGGATATTGAACGTATGGATTGGCCGGCACGATCTCCGGATCTCAATCCCATCGAGCATGTATGGGAATTTCTAGGCAGACGCTTGGCAGCTCGTACCTTACCACCAGTAACGATTCGGGAGCTTCGATTGGCGCTGCAAGACGAATGGGAGCAATGCCTCAACAACTCATTGACACCCTCATTCTCAGCATGGGCAGACGCTGTGAAACCTGCCTAGCAGTCAGGGAGATCATATCCCCTACTAAAGACCGGATGTTTCTTATTGGACACCCATCACAGGGATGTTTCGGCCTTCAGTCGCATTGCGCTCCATGCTACTTTTTCAATCAAGCTTCTTTTTATCCCTCTGATTTCTCTTTTAGTAAGTGTTGCTTACATTACACATGTCCTTACGTATTGGGGATCTTACGGTATTAAATGTGTTGATTTGGAAAGCTTTTGTACAAAGTTATATTGAAAAAACCGTCTCGTCCTTAATTTTTGCACACCAGTGTAGAGATCGCGAGCTAATAGTAGGAATTGAAAAAGACGTAACTTGGCGTCGAAAATTGATTTTCAGCCAAACTGGCCAAACCCGGTTTTTGTAGTTACGAAAATGCAAACGATTCACGCTTTTTAGCGTTTTTAATTAATATCTTTTCAAATAATCTTTATATATGTAATTCTTCTGCGCGCGTGTATGTAACTGAACTCCTCCTAAACGGCTGGACCGACTTTGATGAAAGTTTTTGTCTGTTCCAGTGGACTCGAGAATGGTTTAGATTTATAATTCGGCTTAGAAATGTTTATTTAATTATTTTTTTATTTATAAATTGTTGATCTTGGAATGTTTTACATTGGATCCGCAGACTGCGCTACGATCGCAGTATCGAATATTCAAAAATCTTTTATTATAATTCAAGTTGGTCCCGACAGTTGGTGCTGTGATCATTTCAGGAAAATATTTTGTCACTTCGTGTTATTATTTTGTTGAAATAAATCGTGTGTTAATTAAATTATTACATTCAGATGTAATTAGTGTTTGAAGAGTTTTGAAGTGTGCATAAAAATCCAATCTCCAAATTTAGTATGCAATTGAAGTGAGTATTTTACATGATTTTCTATTAAATTTACTCGTACGTTGACAACAATTATCCTAACCTACAAGTTTAAGTTTTTTTCACACAGCCTTTACATTTAACTTCGCTCATAGTATACATAAACTCACACGCTATCGATTGATTGAATTGTGATAACCGTACATGTGTAATGACGTTAGACATTATAATAACTTTTTAATACAAATTTTACTCAAAACGGTCCAGATTGTTAAAGCTTATTCATAAAAATTTGGAATTTTTGAATTTAAGATGTGTACAGGACAACGTCTGTCGGGTCCTCTAGTATATATATATATATATATATATATATATATATATATATATATATATATATATACTGCTGGACAATTGCTCTAAGGACGGATAACACTATCATACATAGCAACCACAAAATGAAAGGAAGCAAAATGTGGAAAATTAGAATAAGTGCGGGATATTAGTAAGAAGAAGTATGAGTATGCAAATTTTTTTCCCACGTCTGTTCATCACGTGATAGCGTTCATAAGAGCTTTAAATGTTTTGACGCGTGTGGACAGTTGTTGTTTCAAGTCAAAGTTTTACAGGAAAGATTTAATAGACGAACTTAAAATTTTTGGCATGTCCTCCCGACATCACATAGATGATTTTATGAGTGGCCGAATTATTGGAAAGATCGAAGTAGGGCGAAAAATAACAGATGTTGCCAGGGAGTTCGACATCGCTCACAGCGTTGTTTCACGGCTGTGGAAGTCATTTAAAACTACTGGAATGTGTAGTAGACGGCACGGGGGAGGTCATGTTAGAAGTACGACGCCTGCAGAAGACAGATATATCGTCCTATCAACAAAAAGGAACAGGCGCACCACAGCTCAGCAGGTGGCAAATCAGTTTCTTGCTGCCTCAGGAAAGCAGATCTCCCGAAAAACTGTTGCCAGACGTTTGAGGGGAGGAGGACTATACTCACGCAGACCTGTTGTGTGTGTCGTCCAGAAAATATCCAGGAAAAGGGCCGATATCCGACATGCAGTATCATGGCGTGGGCCGGCATCATGATCAATGGCCGCACGCGCCTACATGTGGTTGCGAATGGGACTATGACGGGCCAACGATACATTGATGAAGTTCTACTTCCTCATGTTCGTCTTTTCCGTGGTGCTGTCCGTGATAAATTTGTTTTTATGGACGACAACGCAACATGTCATCGAACACTCGCTGTTCAGGATTGTCTAGACAGCGAGGGTATTCAACGTCTCGTATGGCCAGCGCGTTCTCCAGACTAAACCCCATTGAAAATGTGTGAGATGCTTTGGGGAGGCAAGTTGCTAGTCGAAACTATCCTCCGACAAACAAGAACACCCTCATCCGTGCACTCACAGAGGAATGGGATAAATTGCCTCAACAGCTGCTGGATAATGCTGTGCAAAGTATGGTACGACGTGTGGAATAATGCATCACACTCCACGGTGGACATATCCCGTTCTGATACCTTTCTTTAAGGTGCCTGCTGACTTTTAGATGCATTGTTCCATTTCTCCGTACGCAGATCAAATGAACATTTTTTTTCTTTCAGATGTTTCACAGCTTTTGTACTTTCCAGAACAATAAATATTCTTTATTCTGATGTCTGAACAGTGTGGCAACTATATTTTATCCTACTAGGCCTCATGTCTCGCTTAACGTTATGCTACATAGCAATTTGTGATCCGTCCTTAGAAATTGTCCAGCAGTGTATATATATATATATATATATATATATATATATATATATATATATATATATATATATAGACAGCTTTAGAAATAGACAGTTTTATTACATATTAGACAGCTTTAGAAATCGTAATAGGTCTCCAGTTTAGTGCAATGAGTTTTTTGTATCTACATTTGTTGTGTCTGCTGAATTCCAATTTCTTACTTCTTTAGCACTGTAGGTTCTAGTATTTCCCTTTTATTTTATTATACTATATATATATATATATATATATATATATATATATATATATCTTGTTCAAATTTTCTATCGTTAACAAAATGCTTTCTATTCATCCATTCAAGCTCAAATACATTTTTTAAAACTTGTAGTGGATGACACTATATATAGTTTTTTCAAACATTAATTCATTAATTAAATTAAAAAAATGAATAAATAGTACCAAACAAAAATAAAGTCCAACAGTATATATAGAAAGGAGACCCGTTCGTTGTGTCCCTGTAGCGCAATGGATAGCTCGTTGGACTTGTAGTCCAGAAGACGTGGGTTCGAATCCTATCTGGAAGGGCTTCCTTTCTGATAATGTGATTTCTTTTTTACTTATTTTATGTTATTAGAATAATTAAATTTTTTGATGAATATATATATATAAATAGTAACAAACAAAAAAAAATAGTCCAACACCATACATATAAAAGAAAATATACAAATTGCAAGGAAAATAACTTTCTATATTTTGTCATATGTATATACATATTGATATTAATAGTAACTATTTAATAAAAAGCAGCTAAAATAAAGCTTTTCTTTGTTGACCTAAGTAGGAATTGACTTAAATATTTTTTTTCTATATTACACTTGTTTTTAAAGACAATTCTGTTCTAAATCAGGATTTTTTAATGATGAGTTTAACTTCTGTATTATTTATATATTGCGAAAATAATATTGTAATTGATTATTAACTTTGCCCTTTAAATCAACACGGGAAAATTGGAAGCGAAACCTTGTAATTTTGAATTTTGGTTGAGAAAAGAGAATGAATGACACCTGAACTGGCACCACTCTCCCCGTACTGCCACACTATGTTATCGTGAAGACTCTGAGCCTCAATAAATAAAACGTGCATCAGCCCATGATCTGACAGAATATTTGTATGTTTTGACGGCAATAACACCGGCCACACAAGTTTTCAGCCTACTGCGGTTACACAAATAAATTACTAGGTGTTACCCGCTGTGATCTTTTGGAAAATTGATGGGTAGCTAAAAAATTATATACAGTGTGACCTCTTTTCTCGAAGTCACTAGACCTCGGAAAAAAGATCGTTATATAGAAAGTTATATCGTTATATAGAGGTTCATCTTTTAATATACTTTATAAACCACATAAAACAAATTTTAAGTTCATGAACATTATATATCAAAGAAAGTAATTATTCAAACCTTTTTAAAATTAATATATATATATATATATATATATATATATTATGTATCTTACCCATCAAAAAAGAAAGACAGAAAGAAAAACTGCAAGGAAAACAAGGACAAAAAAAAAGAATGTTGAAGAATTCACTGTATTTTCAATATTAAGAAAATAATTTTAATCTAAAATTGATGAATTTTAAGGGTATTTTTTAATTTAAAGCATACAAGCAATATTAAACATGCATTACTTTATTATTGGAACACGGGGACACCGGAAAACTCCACTGAAGGTGAAAGAGGATATCGAAGAGGTTTCTAGTGAACTGGGCAATGGGGGTTAAGGGTTGCACTTCATGGATGAAACGTCCAGAACTCTATTGCTCTCGGCGAGTTAGGATCTAATAAAACCAGTTCAAGATTTATGACCACCATAAAATGTGTTAAAGAGAGAATAAATTGCATTTTGTTTCAGAAATACTTTTAAAAAAGGGAGAAAAAAATTGAATAAAAAAAAGTTAGTTATCTAGAAAATGCACTTCGCTATAGAGAGGTTAGTTTACGAAGAAAATCATGAAATGTTCAAGATTCCAGGAAAGTGTTCGATTTATAGAAAAATTCGCAATATAGAGGTTCGCTGTATAGAGGTTCGACTGTAATTGATTTATTTCGTCCACAACTATTAATTACAGTTGGTTATAATTCATTCAAATTATTGACTATGTCCATTCTATAGAATAAGTTATTAGTGAAGGAAGAGGCAAACACAACCGTTCTTTCCAGTGTTTCACAACGGACTGTCTTTCTACTCTGTTGGGGTGGAGGTGGGAGGGTTGTCACCTCTTACACTTCAAATTACACTCGGAGTTCAGGCTGGTAGGTGGAGTCGTATTTTTCGTACTGCCCTCGGTGGTCGGAGCGATGTCAGATGAAAAGACCCCGAAATATTTTTGGAGGACACGTGTGGATCTGAACGGTATAGTGCTATTTACATAAAAACGCCGATTTTTTGCAGCTACGTGGTGCAAAAATGTAACACCGCCAGTTTCGTTGTAAGACTGTACTTTTTAAAGTTATTGAGAGATATATATCTAAGTTATAGCATTTAGATTTCGTTTTTATTGAAAAACATTCTTATAAACCATCACTTCTTAATTCAGAAAGAGGGACTTGAATTTCTAAAATGGAAATATGTTTATCTCTTAGGGCCTCTTAATCCCCATAAAATTTGATTTACAAAAACCCATTTTTAGTTGATCTCTACTCAACAAATTAATCATGTTTATCTAACTTCGTTTGAAAGTCCAGTAATTCGAAAACGGGATTTCTTAAGAACATGTAACACCCTGTAATCTCCCTTTGGGAGTCGATTTTCGTATGGCAGGTTCTTAGCAAAACAAACATGTGTACCGAATTTCAAGTCTGTCGGTTTAGTAGTTCTGGAGATTTCGCATGAGTGAGTGTGAGTCCCTTTTCTCCTAAATATAGATAATATAGTATGAGAAATAAAAGTGAATAGAGCATAGCTGTTTGGGAATCGTTTTTTTAACATTTAACAATTTGATAAAGGGAACTTTACTTTAAAAGGTATGCTTTCAGACGGCCACAAATATAATTAGACTTAAGTTTTCGAGCTTCAGGATATTTCACAGCATTGTAAAGAGATTCTTGTAACGGAGAATTAAATTAATTTCAATGTGTACAAATATATAATACCATGAAAATTTCATTGGAAAATTATGTTCATTAGAAGGCGCGTTAAAAAGTTTATGAGTATTTTAATGTGTTTTATTAGTAAATAGAGTTAAAAGTTATAAATAAAGTTAAACTCTGAAAATCAAACTATTTAAAAAAAAAATTCTGAACTTGAAAATATTTAAATATTTCCGATTTATCATGTCTTTTTCAGAAAGAAAAATAAAGGTCATGAACTTTAAATATAGAATTAAAACAGAATTTTGTGTTAGATTTTAAAATTTCTAATCTTTGATTAAGACTTAAAAGCAGATGGACAGAAATTTGTATAATTTCGATAGGAAATTGTGTAATAAAAATCGACAATGAGCAAAAATCGGATGCAATATTATGTGTATCGTCCAAACAAAATAAAAAAAATTCTACGTGCGGAAGGATCCATGGCAGAATAATTATGGACATTTATATTCCGCATTGCCGTTATCTCTTTTTAATGGTAAAAAAGCATTATGAACTCTGAATGTGTACGAGAGAAAGAGAGGGAAAAAGAGAGAGACATTTTTTTTGTCAAAACAAATAAAAAATAAATTTTCACAAGAAAAAAAATACTCTGAAAAATAATATTTTAAGTTTTTTCTTTTACTGTTCATATTTCAATGAATTTATCCACAATTCCAATTAACATAAAAAAAACTCCCAACCACACAATATTTTTTAGAAATTCAAATGCAATCGATTCCTAGTTTGGGTTTATCATTTCAATACAGAAAGAAGGTCAATCAATACTCTGATTCACAACAGATGATAATGAAAAAAAAGTTTTCCCTCCTAACTTATGAAATACGAGGCGTGTCCGTAAAATAAGTTCCACGAATTTTTTCACATCAAAAACTGGTTTAATTGCAAAGAATAGTACATTTTTTGGAAAGTTCAGTCTTTCTTTTATTTTTCTACATAATCGCCGTTGCGTTGTATGCATTTCTGCATTCTAGGCACCCACTTTTTCAAACCAGAGTGATAGAACTCTGCCGCCTGTCCGTGTAGAAAATTAACAACCGCGTTTTGCACCTCTTCATCTGTCAGGTTTTTCTTCAACTCGGGGAAGAGATGGAAGTCACTTGGTGCTAAGTCATAGGGTGGGGTGAGACACCATTTCCCATCCAAATTTTCGACGAGGGCTGTGGTTCGATTGGCGGTGTGCGGTCGGGCGTTGTCATGGTGAAAACGCACTCCTTTTGTCAGCATTCTCTTCTCTTGTTCTGAATTGCACGTCTAAGCATTCAAGGTCTCACAGTACCGGTCAGCATTGATTGTTGTCCCGCGAGGCATAAACTCGCACAAACAATACGCCCTTTCGATCCCAAAAAATGCTAGCCATGATTTTCCCGGCAGACAGGATTTGTTTGAACTTCTTTGCTCTTGGCGACGAAGGGTGTTTCCACTGCTTCGATTGCTCCTTTGTTTCCGGTGTGGTGTAGTGTACCCAGGTCTCGTCACCAGAAAGAAATTCCTCTTCGGTTGTTCCGTGAAAAGCGGCTTCAACTCGCTGCCGCTTGTGGTCTGCAGTGAGCATTTTTGGTACCCATCTTGCGCAGACCTTTGAATAGCCTAAATGTTCAGTCAAAATCTTGTCAATTGTGGTTTTGCTGACCTCCGGAATCTTTTTTCGCACAGTTCCCGAACTGTAGTCCGTCGATCTTCAAGCATTGCCGCTTCGACTTTGGCAATTGTTTCGTCGGAAGCCGATGGCCGCCCTGCACGGGCTTCGTCGTGGACGTCTGTTCGGCCATTTTTAAAGTCCCTGACCCATCTGCGCACCATCCCAGAGCTCATACACTCTTCTCCATACACTTGACAAAGTTCTTCGTGAATTTCCTTTGCCGATTTCTTCTTAGCGGCCAGAAAACGAATAACAGACCGCAACTCGCAGCTGGCGGGAGACGCAAGAGGAAGCTCCATCGCTAACGGCTGCTTGAATAAACGTCCGAATCTAGCTTGGTGAGGGATTGGAGTGGGGGAACCAAACCACCTGCCTCTGTTGCCTGGTCGCACATACAAACGATCCTAGCGCCAGTGGTAGCCCGTGGAACTTATTTTACGGACACGCCTCGTAGAAAAAAGGTTGGTGAACAGCAATAGATTTGGGCATATAACAGTAGATATCGAGCTTACATGACTTTTCTGGGGGCATTCGCTGATCTAGCTGTTTCTTTTGCCTTCCCTCTTTCAAGATAGTTTTCCTTTTCTTAAAATAGAAAATGGACTTACTGAAACAGCAACGCATTCTGCTTGATTTATTGTTGCTAAGTTAAGACGTCCATTAATGGGAAATTAAAACATCCACTTTTGTATTACGTCGTTAACCTAATTAAGAAGTGTCTTTGTCCAATCCAATTATTTTTCACCTTCTGGAAGTCTGCTTTGCACGGTTAATAAGCTCTTTTGGATTAG